CCGTCGTCTGTGTGTGTGTGTGTGTGTGTGTGTGTGTAGGGGAAAGGGGGGGGGAGGTTTGTTCGGAATAGACTCACCCCCCCCCCCCGCCGTTCAGCGTTGCCATATTTCCCATATGGTAAATGCTGAATGAGTCTATTTGGCCTGGACCAGAAAAAGAAAGAGCCCCCCCCCATGCCCTCGCCAGCTGTCTGGATTCGAGTGCCAAAGTTTGCCAGGGTGCCAAGAATATGGGGACTCGCTGGCTGTAACCCGGCGTGGGGAGAACTAAACGTGTCATATGGCCTTGGCGGTCGCATGCCGCCGCTCTCCGCCTTAATCCTAGCCGGACGCACGAGGGGTGGGTGTGGGGGGGTCATCTGGGGAACGTGGATTTAGGATTTCTGTAGCAGCCCCGGCTCTCTCCGGAAAGGGGAGGCTTCTTGCAGCCTGTGGGAGCCATGAGGGCGGAGAGCATGTGTGCGCGGGGGAGGGGGAGCGGCGCCCAGCCCCGGCGGAGCGGCCCGGCCCGGCCATGCGGCTTTGCGGCGGGGGGGCTGCTTCCAGGCCGAAGGTTCCACGGCGCTGTTGCAACGTTCCAGGCCGCGGTGCGAACGTTCCACGGCGGAGGACTGAGCGTTCGATCTGGGCAGCGTGTGTGGGGCTGGGTGGCTGCGCTCGGCGCTTCCTCCCCTTCCCGGCATTCCACTGCAGCAGTAAAGACAACGTGGTTTCTTCTGCTGCGAGCATGTGATTCTCTCCTCCCCCCTCCTTCTCCCCCGGCTCACCGCGGGGCCTTCTCCTTCGCCCCCTTTCCCGGTACGAATCGCCCCCTCTCCCGCCGATTTGCGCCCCAGCAAGAATCTGCAAAGCCTTAGAGGGTGACAGACAAGCTGTGCTGGAGGGGGCGCGAGGGGGGAGGGAATCTGCCAGCCCTGGCCCATCCCCCCCATTCCCTACCCCGCTTTTCATGTCTGATCCAGTGCACCATTGATCGGAGCACGCTACACCTTTTTTTGGGGGGGGGGGATTCCCCTTAACCCCCACGTGTTCTCCGTGCTCACAGCGCCCTGCGTGTGTGCGAAAGGTAGTTCTCTCCCTCCTCCCCACGTGTGCGTATTCCTCTGTAGCTGAATGCGGCCGGGCCCTTGACTCCTGTCTCCCTTGCTTTGCTGGCACAGTGACATGTAGGCCTCAGTCCTTCATTTCTGTGCAGTTCCAGAGCTGGAAATAAACTGGTGTGTGTAACCCTCTCTTCCCAGCATTGAATCTGTGTGGAGAATGGGAAAGGGAGGGTGAATATGCTGGACAAACAACCCCCCCCCGTACCCCCCCCCCTCCCCGGCCCCTTTTGGAATAAATCCTTGGCCCAAAGGAAATTCCGAGTAGCTTTCTGGTAATCGTGCATGTTGCAATGCTGATTCTGTGGTGTAACTTCAGCCCCTCTTTCCCCCAAAAGTTACTGGGGTGTGTGAGTGTCTGTGTGTGTGTGTGTGTGTGTGTGTGGTTCAGTTGTAGTTTAGTAACAACTGCCTTTTAAATTGTGCATTCTTCCTCCCACCATTCTTTTTAGGCCAAGATTGGAAATGCTGAACGCTTTGCATTTTCTTGCACGTTGTAATAGATATTACTTCCATCAGGAGAAATAAACTGTTATAGCATGAAGGGAACCCATACCAGGAGAAAATACTGAGAATTTTAAATGGATATCTCATTTATGAGGGCGCTTTAATTTTTCAGCCTTCCCTTGCAAACTTTAAATTACATTCCCAGCTATGACATCTGGTTTCTCATCAGTGCGTGTGCCATCATTTTGCAAAAGTTGGTACCGTCTAACATGATGAATCATCATAGTTATTGATCTCTGGAAGATGGACAGCTCTGCAGTATCTGCTTGGAATATTTTTTTTTAGTGGGGAAAAGCACATAGGAGATAACTTAATAGTGCACAACAAAAATCTCCATGGAGTCAAACTGCTTTAGTCTATGAAACCATGGGATGGTATAAGAATGACTTGTCTTAACAAAGTTCTGACTGTTTTGCTGCCTCAGTTTACTTCTTGTTGTATGACCTAAAGCTGATCTCCTTACACCTTCATGCGGAGGTGAGGATTCATAATGCTGCCTTGTTGGGCCATATTTGGTAATGGCCATTCTCTAGAGTTTAGCACTTGTTGCGTTTTCAATTTGCAGTACAACATTTTGTGATTCAGAAGGCTGATCCAGGTGGTTGTGATGTAAGCAGAACATAAGACGTCATATACTAATTTCTGTGCATATCATGTATGTAGAGCTTTGTGAATTACACTATTTATCCTAAACTCTAAAGCTATAGGACTACATACAGTACTTCTGGTGAGAATGGCTTGAAAGTATACCCAAGATCTGCAATAAATGTCTTTTGACTTGCCTTCATCTCTTCTGCATTAATATTTCAGGTTTTAAAGGACAAAAGACAGCATGTTTTGGTATTGGTCCTGTTATCAGGCTGGGAAAACTTTTTTCTTTGGCGGGGGGGGGGGGAGGGACTCCCCAACTTATTTTTTTGGGGGAAATTGTTTAGTTACAAGCAACAAAAATTTGAACAACCAGAATTCCTTTTCATCC